ATTCATGTCAACCAATTGGCTAGCAGGCTGCTCTCACCACACGGGGGAAACTATTTGTGCACTTCCACTTCATAGTGCCCGGATGCCAGGTATGAAGTAGAGAACCACTGAGAACCAGTTAGTGCATCGAGAGTTGCATCACTGAGAAGAATCGGGAAAGAATCACGTCTGGTCACGGCATTCAATTTGCGACAGTCAATACACATTCGGAGAGAGCCGTCCTTCTCCTTACCCAGGGCGATGAGTGACGCTCGGAAGATGAGGGCACGATGGTACTGTTATCAAAAATACCTTAATGCTGATGGGGAACCGGAATCGATCTGGGTGGTTGACGCACAGGTGGGTGGCTGCCCGTGTCAACACGGTGCTGGACAACATTGGTGCGTCCCGAATTATCCTCCTCTTCAAACACATCGGGATGTTCCCCGATAAACAAAGCATTTGTCCCAAAATGAGAGCAGGGGAGAGCAGGCTGACCGAAATTTGAATAGGGCTACAGGACACGGATAAATTTGACTAAGAGGAGGTCGGCCACTGAAAGCGATATCAGGGTATAGAGATTAGGTCGGTGGAAAACTGGTAATGGGCGACATCTATTAGGGTGGAACGTGACGTAAGAAAATCGACACCGAGGATCAGGTCCCACGTAATCTGAGAGAAGATGACGAACCGGTGGCGGGAACTTGGATCTCCAAGGTTCACCTGTAAGCACGTGGAAGATCAAGCTTCCATTTTTGCACCGTCAGCTGCTGCGAAGACGTTGTGAGTGGCTACTGGCAGTGAGTATTGTGGCAGGCTACAGATGAATGAAGTCTTTACGAGTGACAACGATGCACGAGTATCCAAGAGTATCTTGTAAGGCACTCCGTTAATGTGTCCTAATAGCATTGTAGTTTCCTATTATGGGAACGTGTAGATCAATTATAAAAGGGGGACTTGCTTTGTTGAAACTAGCAGTTGTAAGCACACTTGTGCGCCTTCTTACGGAACCTCCTAGAACAACAACTGGTGGGGGTATTTTATTCCTTCACTTTTGCCGCTTGCGCACAGGAGGATTGTGGCGAGTTTATTCAACGGAAGCTGCTTTATTTTGTGTGGGGTATTACAGCAGGAGTTAATGTTTGTGGCTGCATAAACTTGTTCGTCACCCCTGAGCCGAAGTGTAGTCTACTTCAGGTCTAGCGTGCTGGTTGTGGGTAGCCACATAATGTGTGTTCTCACATCGCCGGGAAGCGTTGTGCGTACTACTCTTTGTTTGTTTGCTGCACCTTAATGGATATCACCATGAGCCACCATAGTTTGCAGAACCTGAAGGTAATACATGGGAATCTCTCCAGGTAGTTGTCGCCGGCTGAGAAGTTTTAGCGTCGGTTGGTAGGGGGCAAAATATAAGTCGAAACAAGCTTTCAGTATGCTCCAGTCTTTGCCAGTGGGAATCAAGTTAAAAAACCAGCAGTTTGTGGTCACTTGTAGGCCTCATCTAAGAGAGAATTGAGGACGCAGATGTTATGGTGACCCGGTGGGGGTAAGCTGAGGGATGCCTACTTGTGTTGCCTCCACACTGAGAGGTCTGAGTTGGGTTCGAATACTGGAGGTTGATGAACAGCGGGCACACTGAGAATAGTAGGTCCATTTTCCTCTGGAGAAAGCTTGGGGTTCACTATCCGATGGAAGATTCGCCTTTTCTGAACATTTGGTCACCTCCGACACCACCTTTGTAACACAGGAAGCAACAGCCACGCTGGGAAGAAAAGCAGGACAGGAGCTCGGTGACGGCATGTGTTTAATACAATGACAGGATTCAGAGGGCGTATATCAAGCTCTCACAAACAGACGGTGTAATCGTCTTCACTGATAGTGAGTCCTAACAGACGTTATGTCTCTTACTCCACATAGTAAACTTCTTGGTGTCTTCCTGAAAAGCAGAAAAGGAAACAGCGTTAAGTACTCCATCTGTCACAGTTTCTTTGTTACTATATATCTCTTATGATTTCTATTTCTTACAATCAATCGAACGGTCACATATCTTTAGGGACAAATTTGAGGAAATATCAGTAGTGCAAGGTTTTTTGGTACTCTATTTACTCATAATAATCGGAGTTCATCCGGTGACAGTTGAACCATAATAATCCATTTTTCGAGAGATAATAGGCAAAAAGTATCACCGACTAACATGAAATATTTTAACCGAGATAATCACTCGACCATGAGCAGGTGGGATGAGTCAAAAGAATTCATGAATCTTATTAAACCATATTCATTTCAACTTCACCAATCAACTTTTTATGTATACCGGTGGGGGTCGAAGAAGATATACTGCAGACAATTGGATTTTCATGGAGCAGGAACAGTTTTGGTTGGGTCAAGCCGAGGAGTCAGACAGTCTTGCGGCAAGACGAAGGTCTGGAAAAGAGGCGGCTTCACAGCAACCACAGGGATCAATTCTAGTTGAGGCTGACGGCAAGATGAGTTTACAGTTTTCAAACTAACTTAATGGCCTGCTGGAAAATAAATACTAATGGAGGATTTTCAGAAAGCGTCCGAATAGAGAATTAAAATTAGATTATTGTTGTCAGCATATTGTATGTTAACCAGCTCAACTTCAGGACAAACACACCTAGAGGCCAGCCAGTGAATATCACATAAGGTGATACTTCTGATAATGAGCCGAATCGGCGTTAAAATAACAAAATATTGAAAGGAGAATAACCTCAATTTACTTCACTTTTTTCAGGGTTCCGTAAAAGCTGCTCCTTCTCCTGGTTTATTCTGCTATCAAAAGCCATATTTTAGATTTTATTTATTATTCCCTAGAGTTATATTTTAGATTAGCCGAGGATTATTGCGAAATAAAAGTGATTGTATGGCTAAAAATTCACACGTGTCAGACTGTTGGTATGTACTGAGTCGAGAAATTTTCACAGCTAACATTCCAAAATCCCGCCTAAACCTCAGATCATTGTAGCTGGGACTATTTATTTTCAACAGTAACTAGTCAAGAGAAAGTCTTCTGAGGCAATAAACAGTGATGTTACCATTTTAGCCATCAGGCATATTTCATATCGCTTTATACTGAAATAAATAGGGATTTTCAAAAAGTTCTTCGGAAGGATCATTTTCAGTATCCCATTTAATAGTTAAAATATCATGACATGTGAATTATTTTCAAAACTGTCATTTCGTTAATATTTAGATTAACATGTCACCACTCCGCTATCTATGTCTGGGGAGAACGAATGCCCGGTCAGTTTGCCGTATTGCACTGAGTGTAAAAATCCTCTGACATGATACAGCCAGTTGGTTTTTATGAGGCGGGTAAAATCATTCTGGATGGTAGGAAAGAACTGTGGGATTCGAATCGGCATTTCGACGAGTTGGCGAATAGCCTCAAGACGTAAGTGGCTACTGTTGTTGTCTCGCCAGGGATACTAAAATAACGTCAATAGCTTTGACAAGTTTCACGCATGAAGACACTTGTGCTCTTTTTTAGTTACAAAACAATCTTCGAAAAGTATTTACATGATGTAAATAATCTGAAAAGAAGAATCAGATATCGAAATTCAGAATTAATGTTATGAATTTATATTGTAACGTACCAGGCGATAAAGCAGATCTGAAGGCCGATTCATCTAATATGAATTTCATTCAGATACACCAGGCGTCCCTTTTGATGCTAAAGCATGAAATAGATGATTTAACTACCCTACGTACTTACTCTGCTCCAGTTATTATAAACCATATAGTGCTGTGTTTCAACGGTGACGATTTTATTCTAGTTAGAGTCCGGACTAAGTCCCATCTCAGTGTTTAACATGCAGATATCATGACTATTAGTAAGTATTTCAACTGTCTTCGAATCAGTCAACACAGATGCGCCTATCGATGATTCACGGGATATCTTCTAGAACACATGTAGAAAAATCGCGTACAAATTAATTTTCGGAAAGGTAGCCGATAAGTAAATGTAAATGAACAGACTATGACAGTCCTCAAGAGTTAGGAAAAGCGATGCAAATTCAATTTCAGTGGGACACAAAGTTTTCAGCTGAAATGCTGTGAAGCCTTAAGCTAAAGCAAGACATTCCTTTATTACCTGTGTAGGCGTATGAAACACTGGTGCCTGGTTCGCACACGGTTGTCTCGAAGAACTCGCGTATACCTAGTTGAACACTAAGAAAATTGATGCTATTCCCGATCTTCTGATTTATAGCCTCCTGATAAGAATGGTTGAGGCTAATTTAAATATAACCGAGGATTCTCGAAGTAATGTGGTCCAAGTACACTCTGCATCCCCAGTGGACTGCTTCTCAAGTTCAATACTTGTGAATCCAGTAGTTGTGACGGATTTCCTACTCAATACGAGTGGTCGTAGGCTAAACCATAAGAGCAAATTGATCGTCAAAAATAATATATACGTATATACATGTATTTTGACCAGAAATGTTGCGCAGCGATTACTACTTAACTAGCTAAAGTGTTCGCATGAACAACCGAACACAACATGACAGTATGATGATTGGTGTGGATGCCAATCCACATACCTTCAGTCTAACTAATCAATATTAAAAATGGGGGACAGCACGCATGTTGCATGATGAAAGCTGCTGGTTAATAATTTGGAGGAATTATCTTCCACTATGCGCTTTCTGAAGCAAAGCCGTTATTATTCCCTACCCTGTAGATATATGCTGATTATTAGGACCCTATAGCATTTAATTTTGATACACCTGCTGTACTGAATCTGATGTATATTGGACCTCATTTGTATTATGAGATTTAAACGATGAAAAAATGTTTTGTGTTCGAAGAGGACATCCTGGAAAGGGTGAAAACAGTGGGGACTGAATGAAATTCAGAGCTCTGTAACCCCCTTTATAAGGTAGAGTTGGATTGATAGGATTTCTCACTATTTATCTAAGTAGTTGATGGTTGACTCTGTGGTAACATTCATCACCTTACTTGATCACACAAGCCAATTTTCTGACCTGTTTAGAATGCTCTGGAACTGAGTAACCTCACAGTTAGTAAACAACGTTGGCTTGAGTCGAGAACTAATGCAATTCTCTGCCGCAACATATCGACTCAGACCTTTTATAGGTTTATTTTGAAGCAGAATTGGTTCTCCGCTGTGCAGTTTGTTGAAATAGTGACTAACTTCCCAAACCATATAATTCAATAGTCACAATTATTCAATACGCTGTCGTGAGTATGTGAAGTTCAATCTGTGTTGCTACGTGCCGAGCTGGCACACCAGATTTATGTCGTCCATGCCTAAAGACACATTGAAAGACTTTTCTATTCAGGAATTACAGACAAAGTACAAGCTAGACATTGATGAAATATTTGATCTTGCACAGACTTTTTTCAATGGTGAGATAACATATCTAATTATGTATTCTGATTTTTAGAAAAAGCTGAAAAGGCTTTTCACTTAAGTTTTGATGATCGGATTGATCTCTCTGCTCTTATGTGTGTAAAGAAGTATGGAAAGTTTGACAAGTCTAAGACACCTGTCCCTGGATTTCTCGACATTATTGGTCAGAGGAGAAAGTAAGTTTGTATTTTCCTTATTCAGATTAAATTAGTTGCGTGATAATCGATATGTGACTGTTAAACATTTTTTGATAATGTGAAAACCTATCTCGGGTGTGTATATGTGACTTAGGGAAGTTGGAAAGGTGGGCGTAAGGGAAAACATGATAACAGTTGGATATTTTGCTTTCGTTGTAACATTTATTGTGTCGAGGACTTACATTGTTTGGTGTTATTTGATCGTCACATCTGCCCACTTTATGAACCAAGAAATACAACCTAACGTCCGACCTGATTCTTTCTTCACATTGTCTTTGTTAGGTAGTGGGATAGAGGCATTTTTTACGTTGGGAAGTAACTTCTTTTGCTGTTTAAATCACATCAACTGCTTTTATTTACTCATATTTTGTGTTTTGACTGGCATTTATCTTGCTGTTTTCACACATATATATTTGTGTAGTTTAGATAAATTACTGAGTTATGAGCCCGAATAACAACTGTGGATGACCGAACTGCCGCTTTCTGGTGGTTGATGGGATGCAATGTGACAACTGCAGCCTATGGTTTCACAGTTTGCACTGGTTTATCACAAGTAGCCTATAAAAGATGTTGTAAGGCATCATCGTGGGTGTGCAAATTTTGCAGTAGTCAGTTGGATATCCTTATCCAATAGGCAGTTGTACTTCTTATGTCCAAGAAATTGAAAAATACAGTCGAAAAACCTGCATCAGAAGGCGATACCAGAAATGGCGATTTAAGACTTAGTTTTGAAACTGAGTCTATCACATCCTGAAGTATCAGATACAAAAAAGGCACAGAGTGCCTAAATATCTGCTGCGACAAAGCGCGAAAAACCAAGAAAACCTAAGAGGGCAACTAGTGCCAGCATACTAATACCAGCTGGTGAAACGACCACGCCAAAGCGCAGCGTGTCTAGTGTACGAATGGTTTCTAGTTGCGGTGAAAACAGTGGAAGAAACCGACTCCACTTGGTTGGTACCGAGAAGTAAGCTGAATATACGTAGGAAAGAAACAGTGACCGGGCTTACTAATTAGGTCTCGACGGCTGTTAATACCAACCAAAGTCCGAAACCTACGGATTCCAGTTACAGTGCCATCATCTGGAACTTAGAGGAACCGAAAAACAGATCCAGCTGCTCGACATGCGGATGGTCTGAAGGCAGTTAGCTCCATTATTCGGGGAATATTCCCTGAAGAGACAATTGGAGTCCACATAAAGCCATCAGTATCGGAAAACGAAACCTTGATGCTACGGAAGCTTCCCTACGATTACTTAAGGTAGTTTTATGACGAGACAGAGAGGAGCACCATCCTCAACAACGCATTCAAAATCAATGACAAAAGTTTTAAAATAAGGCCTGATTGACCGTTAGAGGATAAAATCAAGAGAAGCCGTAGCTGAACTAAAGACCAGGCTAGAGAAAGGCGAAAAAGACCAAGCTATTGTGTTTTCGGGTGGTGAAGTCTCGAAGACCGATTCTGCCGAGACCTCTCTTCATAAGTCGGGTGAACACGTAGGTGTTTCAGTGTGCCATATGAACTCATGTAGTCCTAGAAATGAGCTCGCCAAATTAGGAGAATTATCTCAAAGACTAAAACCTAGTGTGATTGCTATCGTAGACTTGGTTGTTAGTGGGGGTAGACTTAACTTCACTCATACCTGGGTACAACTGCATTAGAGCGGACCGAGTAATTAGTCGGAAAGGTGGCAGATTGACAGAGATTAGGTCAACACTGTCAGAAGCACATGATAGTGGCACCAGTGAAGCCACAAGTTGTGTCATTCACTTGAAAAAGGCCACTTTAAAGATCGGGGTTATTTACAGAAGTCCTGCTAGCCAAGCTGATGACTTTGTTCTAAATCACTTGAGGCGTGGAGTAGTAGAGATAAGTGTCTAATTGCTGGTCACTTTAACACTCCACATATTAATTTTGGAGGGGGATTAAAATACACTAGTTTGTATACCTGTCTCAATAGGGAGCTCACACTGACTGCTAGAATGTGCACTCGTGCAACATATGCATATACCAGCATGGCATCAACCTGAACATAGTCCGTCTATTCTAGACTTGGTACTAACACCAAAAGGAGGACGTCGGTAACATTAGGTGCCTTCAGCCGCTTGGCAGCAGTGACTACGTAGTCATTACTTTTACGTTTGAGATTCATCCTCTCATACGCAGGTCAACATCTGCTCGTCCAAATATTTGGAAGGCATGTATGTCGGGAATCCGGAACGCAGCAACCGCAGCTGACTGGTCAGTTGGTACAAGTCAGACTGAAGAAGCTTGAGTGGCATTTAGGAATACACTAGATTGTGTCACTTTACCTTTTGTACCTTGGTACACTCGAAAACTACCGCATGAGTCACCTTGGATTGCTAGTGAAATAAGGAGACTATTAAGACGGAGGAAAATTATGGGATCAATTTATTATAACAGAAAGAGAAAATTTCCAGAAGAACTACCACAGAATTCAAATCTCTATGTCATCAACAAGAGTCGTATAGAATACAAGAGACAGCTAGTAATGGATTGTGTTCGTTACCCAAAAGGGCTGTAATCGTACATTAAACGTGGGACTAAAACTAGCAGTGGTATGCCGTCACTCATAAGCATCAGTGGAGAAGCGGCTGAATCAGACGAGGGAAAGGCTGAAAACCTCTATAAATACTTCTGTGACGTCTTCTCGTCTGGTCGTATCCAGGGGTATGGCAAAGTCACTGCCAGCGCCACTCAGATGTCCTAGATTGTGGTAGAGCGCACAAAGGTCCTCAAAATACTGTCTAAACTGAAGCCAGGTAAATCACCTGTGTCCCATGGACTTCACCCTAAGCTGTTAATTTCCTTGGCGGATATAAAATACATTCCACTTACGGAGATTTTCCAAATGTCTCTGACCCAGGCCAAGATACCCAGGACTGGAAGGATGCCATTACAAGCCCTATCTTCAAAGAGGAGGACAGGCGATTAGTATCTAACTACCGGCCGGCAAGTCTGACAGGCATTATTATAGCAAAGGTATTGGAAACAATTATAAGGGATCAGCTATTAGCGCATATGGAAACACATGACTTGTTGGCGGTGGAACAGCATGGATTCCGACCAAGACGATCCTGCCTAGCAAACCTACTATTGGGTAGGGAAGACTGGGTTGAGGCCAGGGTTAAAACCATTCTGTTTGACGTGGCTTTTATCGATTTTAGTAAGGCATTCGATAAGGTATCCCACTTATGTCTCCTTAGTAAACTTATAGGTTTCGGACTAGGCCAACGGTTTATGGATTACCTAATGGATAGAAGGCAGAAGGTAAGAGTTAACGGTGTACTATCGTTGGTGGGGGGGGGGGGGAAAGCAGTATCCAATGGAGTGCCTCAGAGAACTGTATTAGGCCGCTTTCTATTCCTATCATACGTTAATGAACTACCGGGTATTTTTATTTCATGTTCATTATTATTTTCGGACGACATTAAGATCTGGAAAACTGTAAATAATAATGAGGATAGGTCGGCGCTACAAAGTGATCTAGATAAATTAGCTGAGTAATCGAACCTGTGAAGTTTGGAAATGGATTCTAGGAAAAGCGTGGTGATGCACTTAGTTCATAAGTTTTATACGTCGTACTCCCTTGGGACACAGAACTACCTGATGTTAACGTACAGGAGGACCTAGGAGTCATTGTCAGTAATGATTTGAAAACAACTGCAAATTGCAATGCAGCCTTAGCTAAGGCTTTTAGAATGCTATGGAGACTCCGAAGAGCTTTCAAACGATTAGATGAGTCTATGTTCTAAGTACTCTACGCAACATATGTCAGGCCTGATTTAGAATACTGCATACAAGCGGCTAGTCCATGATTAGAGAAGGAGCGACATATCTTAAAATAAGTACAAAGGGTAGGAACCAAATTAGTTAGTGGTATTTCACGCCTTCCTTGTGGCAAAAGGATGGAACATTTAAATCTCTTTCCGTTATCATACCGAAGGAAGAGAGGCGACTTAATTTTAGCATACCTTATACTTAGGGGTGGTTCAGGATCTGACCTTTCTAACCTTTTCTCCCCTTCTAGGATAGATACATTTACTGGGCCACCGCATAACCGAGGACGATTAAGATACGTGCAGAATTTAGATTTTCTCACAGAGTGGTCAACGTCTGGAACTCCTTACCTGATTCAGCTGCATCGGTGAACGCTTTCAAGGAGAAACTGGATCTCTGCAGAGATATACTGTGCAAGGATTTACACAGGCCACAGGAGCCTACTGTCCTTATCATTTGAATCTGTTTAGGGGGTTGTCGTCATTCGTTTATAAGGTTCAAATTGATAAGAACTTGACTTGATATGTTAACCGTAGAAACGATGTCCTTTGTCATCTTTACGTATTTTTTGAGGTCATATCAAATAACGCTAAGCAAATGAGGGAGCTACTGTACTGAAATCATTTCAATAGTTTGATATTCTTACGAGTTGAGTTCCTGTGGAATTATTTTTGGGAGGAAGTTGATGCTAGATGTGTATTAAGGCATCGGAAAAGAAGTTTTTAGCCTCTTGAAGTGGTTAGAAATTGTTTACAGTGAGGCAAATGTATCATCCTCAAACTCCAAGGCCTCCAGTTATCGTATCCAAATTATTCGTCTCTTTTAGTTTTATTGTGGTGTATTTGTAATTTTGTTCTTATGTTTTCATATGGCAACTGGGGCTGATCGGCATTTGTAGTTTATACGTTCATGTATTGGCTAGCCACCGGGAGTCTTGTAGTTCCTTAGTGGCTATTTCGTATTCCATTGTGTGGATATTTCAGAGCTTTTTCGGTCCTCATACATACGAGTTCATAACTGATAACCGGATAATGTCCATCGCTCAATTTAGTACACTTCGTAGAAGCGCACACGAAGGGAAATTAATATAAAGATTGGCTAAGGTATTCAAAGTTACGATGATAAAGAGTGAATGCTTATTCACTTTTAAAAGTGATTTTGGACTACCAATAGGGATCCTTAACCATTGACTTTCAGCGTTTAAAGGATTTAAGTCACTTCTCTCATCTCTTCTTTTATTATAACAGCGTGCCTGTTCACTTTCTGTCTTCGTACTGTTAATTTTGGCTACGCGAACGAATAAGCTTTTATGCAATATTTATTAGTATCAATAATACATTTTTTTGTTTTTCAGTGCTCGTTGGGAGGCCTTGAGCAATATGAAACCAAATGAGGCTCAAACTAAGTTCATAAATAGAATCTATGATCTTTGCCCATTATTCATGTCGTATTTAGAAGCCTATTCACGCAGTAAAGGTAGTATCGCTGGTCACTATTCGAAGTGAGCATAATTTTTAAGAGGTTTCTGATTTGTTTACCCCATTAAATTATGATACCGTTCAAAATAATAGTTTGTGAATGTGGTTAAATAATTTTGAGAAAATGAGATTAACTATTTTGCCAAAGGATTTAGTGCAAACATCTGTGACGTAACCACTAAGTGTGATTACAGTAGCAACTTTAGAACTGCACCAGCTAACTATGAGTTTAGTGAATGTCTGCATAAAATTGTATTCTCTTAGTTTCTTTTGAAAACCTTAATAGCCTTAAGGCAACACAAATTTTAGATTGCAGTAAATTTACTGTTTCCCGTTACATTCTGTCTCCCAAAGTAAAATGAGTAAAACGTCAGTACCTAAGGAGTTACTGAAGCTCGGCGCACTTGAAATTAAACTTAGTTATGAAGATTTCTTCAGTTTCATTACTTATTTGGACAGTAGTCTCGAAAATGTAAGTACTAGCAATTGAAATGTAGTGCTAACACTGCATAGATTACCCCAAGTTAAACTCGATACTGTATGTTAATAGTTCTGAGAGAAAGCTTAGATTGTTGTGCATATTTCTTACTACAGTAGTTCAGGAATAATTTACGATATATATGAATACATCAGCCTGTTAACACCATAATATTTACCGATAATGTTTGAGCAGACATTGTGCACTAATTACTAAGATAATTTTTATTTCATGGAGGAATTCACTCAGTTACAATATATTCGCTGTTTGTCCACGTGCGTGGTTGATTCAACTGTGGAATGTTGGCTAGCTATGTGATAAGTTGAGGTTCGATTCTCAGCTGACGCGTTTCACTTAGTAAGAGGAAGAGAGGTTGAGGGTGTAGCTAGCGATTCCATTTTGTAAAAAAAAACAATACCTCTACTGAAACTGCAAAGTGTGAAGCTCTATGCCCCAACGCAGTGAATGGAAACAAACGCTGTTTGCTTGCAGGAATTTCCTTAAAATGTGCTCGTCAGGATGCAAACACTTTGTGCATCGAATGGTGATTGTATTTTGCTTTCAAAAAGGGGCTGAACTGAAAACTAGATTACTCCAACCAGTGCGTTAATAATATGCTTCAAGCTTTCTATTCCGTATAAAAAGCGGTGTATCTCAGGTACCCTTTGCAGGTATATGTATAAGTTTGGATCACAATGAAGTGTAAAAGTTTTATGAAACTATTGAGCTAATCTTGTGACTATATTAAGTAGAAAAATGGGCTTAAAGAACGTGGAAAAACATGACGATTTAGTTGGTATCGTAGATTATAAAGAATGAATGCATCTGTGCCCCTGAAAACGATTTTGAGCCGAGTCACCAAAATATTTCAAATGTTTTTGGGTAATGATAAGAAAGCATTTTTTAGTTTATTCGTATATCCAAAGTATGCAAAAATAATGGAAGGTGTTCTTATTCAACTGTAGGTTTATTAATGATATGAAGTGAATTAATGGACAAATTACTTTGCTTAATTAGTTGTTAGTTTACGAAATGATAACTGTCACCTGATGTATTATGCTACTTAAATTGGTGAGATAGTTGGATGAAGGTTATAGAGGATCAGGTCCCTGTCCATTATAACGGTTGGGACTCATAAACGCTTTATTTTCTTTGTAATCTTGTACGTTTTTAATCTCATTTGTTGGTACTCTCCTTTATTTTATTCTTAATCTATCTTACACTAATCAGTATTATTTTCATACGGTAATCCTTGACCATGTTTAATTTTCCATTTGGTACATTTGGCGCGATGTTACAGTCTAGGAAAGCTTTTATTCGTCTCTCCGACTGTTGATTCCTGCTAAATTAAGTCTTTATGTGGCGTTTGTAGGTTGTCCAATTTTTAATTAGTACCAGTCTGTTTTCGTTTAAGACTTTGTGCTCCAAAACTCAAATGGATTATCAGACTTTCTATACCATGGCTGCTGGCTTTAACGTCTCATTTTTCATACAAACGCTTTAATAGAGGAACGGTTACTGTAATCGGTCTAAGCCAAATTGAATTATCTTCAGGTCCTTTTCATGTATCAGATATCATTCAATTGTAAGTGGGTATAGTACTTTATAACTGGATTGTATTTTGCTTATTTGATGCATGGTTTTAGAGAAATGGATGTTTCTTGTCCGAACGAAACTGTTTCCCCCATTGGTAATGGTAATCAACATTGTTTCACTTTGGAAAATGAGTAAGTAACTTCTCTCTTTTAAAACCGACTTAATTGATCAAAACTAGAAATTAATTATGGCCTAAAATATTTTTTGCCAGTCTATGTAATTAGACACTACTATTTTTGAAGGCAGAACAATATGTAAATATTGTGTGTGTGTGTTTTCTACCATGTTATTGATTAGTTATTTCTTATGGTGGCATTTACGGAATTGTTTAGTTGTTTAAAAAGATTCATGGGGAATTCCCATTGAGACAAAAAATCAAAACAAGTGATTCAGCGAGGGGGCGTTTCAACGAAATTAGCTCGTATATATATATATATATATATATATATATATATATAGACTGTACAGCGTTATAATAAGTCCGTTTAAGAGAGTCTCTTCGCTGGATTACTTCTTTTGAGTTAGAAATATTCACATATTCATTTACTGCATTATTCAGAAAATTTGGGAGAGGTACTTAGTCATACTACTTACCATTTGAGAAGCATAAGGCTACTATTTGGTAAATACATACAAAAATTCTAGAAAGTAAAGCAGTAAGTGGACATCTTTGCACCATTTAAGTAGTATTGAGTTATTTCAGTGACTATTTCTACCCAATCGGTCTGATTGTTGTTGTGATGCTTGTCATAGTGTTCATTAATTATGTTATATTGACAACTGTAATTGTTTTGGATATACTGTGGATCTCGGTTTAAAAACGAAGTTATATACAGTACTGTATTTGCTTAGCACACCGACCATGAGTTTTAAATTGGCTTATCAGGTTTTCTTTTTGGCAGGGCATTCGCCAACATAGGATGGCAGGGGAACGTCAGTGTTGATGGGGTTGATTAGCTTAAGCCCCATCAGTTTTCAGCTGTTGGCTTCTTAGTTCAAACCTACTTCAGCCTGTGCAGCAGGGTATTGTCATCAGCGCCTGCATAATAAGTGCGGCATATGAAAAATCTGTTCTGGATATGAGTCTTAACTAGTCAAACGTTAAGATACGAAGTCTTATCTGCATGCAAGCCAGAGCAGAATCTTTGATTGAAAGAATTCTAAAGTTTTTGAACATGCTAGTTCCAAGCATGCAAGGTTGTTTCACTGAAGGCGTTTCGCCGAAGGGAACCAGCAATCAACCTAAGTAAATTCGAATACTGAATAATTTATAGACATGAAAGCAGTGGAGAACAATGCTTTTTCGGATCCATAGCTTTATCATATAATGAGTAAAGAACTCAATGAAAAGATAGAACTCGGTTGTTTTGGGAGAAAAACATTGCAATGAAACAACAAAACATTGAGGATAAATCTAATATAGTCAAATATAAACCTTAAAAGGTAAAATCATTAGCAGTGAAAGAAAAGTCAGTTCGGCTTGGAGCAAAAAGCTTAATGTTAATTTTATGGAAATACTACTAACTTTAAAGTATGAATAATAACACTCAAACTAAGAATGTAGGCAAAAGTAAGTATTCAAATTAAACAATGAAAGTCGAGGTGTAAAAGTCATTCGCCAGCATACTAAACTTCTTGATTGCACTCGCTCTAAGGTTCATCCCCTGTCCCACACAATCTTAAACCTCATCCACTTTACTCTCTGAAATCAAGTGAGGAAAATGGGGAAGATTTGGTGTAAGGCTATCAGCCCCACCTCGTAAAGACAACACCACAGCTACTGGAACTTCAAAAGGGCCTATGTTCCACTCTGAACTCAGGTTAATATGAAATAAATATTAATGAAGAGTATATCAAATTCATTTTTTTTCTATGAATGTTGTCTAGAATGACGTCAAAAACTGTACTCAGAGAGGAAAATAAGCTATCAAAACATCCACAGCATGAGCTAGCTGCAGGATATCACTGTCATATTTATAGTTACTTTTTTTAAATTCTATAAGCATATAAGTAGTATTTTTCAGGTGTATTATTCTTCCTTTTGTAAATTTTTTGGTAGAGCTGAAATTCGGGCAGCTTTAAATGCCCAAACCGAAAGTCAATTCCAATCTTATGCATCCCTTCATCATCCTGACGATCCTGTCAAGGTTTGTTTTTCTCTTTGTTATTTATTGTTTTTTGTTAACACGTATATTCTGTTAAATTTTGCAGTTTGTGTAGTGGACGCCGTAGCTTCAAGAGGTTTTCGAAGTAATCAACACTATAACGGTTGTAGGGAATACTTTTTGTTGACGCATTAAATTATAGCAAAAATTGCTTAAACAAATACAACAGTTTTAGTGAAGATGTGTAGTGTCAGCTAAATTATGCTGATTTGATACTATGGCTCGTTTAAATGTCACAAGCATATTAGATATGTACTTACAGATAGGGGACTAAGGGGATAAAAATTAATAAAATCCACGTATCATTAAGATAAGTTGACAAAATAAGATGTTCGGTCCACGTATTTTAGTATTCGGGTATATTTCGCGAGTTGAAGTGCTTTCAAACCAAGTGTAGATAGTGTAGTAAGGAGCCATTTATTTGATGGAGTGCCAGTAAGTTAGAAGGTTAATGACTTAAATTTAAAATACTTTTATTATGTGAACTTTAAATGTTGTGGAAAGTAATCAGCAAAAATAGGAGTTTTTCAGTTTACATGCAATCTGGTCATTTGTGGTTGTATTGTTTCAAGCTGTAGGCGAATTAAAGTGTTTTTATTTAAGCTTGGGTGTCGATGTATAAAAATCCGAATAGGATGCAAATACTTTAATCTATAGTATTGCACTACTTTTTCCAGAAACTTCGCAGCTTTCGAAAACAGCGTTTAACGTTAGTCTAGCGCTGTTGTATTCTGTCTATCCTCTGAAAATTAAGCTTAGAGATGCAAGAATTCGCCATTATTTCGAAAATGTTTATAACACACCTTAGAAACATTTTTCCTACAACCATATTGATTTTTTAAAGCAATTTATCATGAATTAGCAAAAGTTGCAAAATAAACCACTCTTTCTATTTAATGAAAAATGTTTACCTTATTTGGATTCATCATGCTGCAATAGGTAAAAAATTGTGTTTTTAGATTCAGGTAGGAGGTCATTTTCGCACCAACTGGAAAAGGTAGGCAAGCGATGCAAAAAGAACGAGGATTGTACATTCATTTAAACAGTCACGTTCAAAAACCACCGACAGTATTGCTTATTTATTTAAACACAAAGTAGGTACAATGTAGGCGCTAAGAGATATGAAGTAGAATGATCGAGGAACAGTATCATCAAAACAAGCAAGCATACTCCATGGTAGGGCAGTATAGACCCACTAAAAGAGGGGGTCCGAAAGGAACTCTACGCATTGGAGACACCCGGCCCAGACAATCCACTCCCGGCATCTTTTAAAGGTGGTAGCGAGGTTCTGGTTAGGGAGTGTACTGGACTGTTCAGGAAAGTACGCGGAAGAATGTTCCTTTAATATGGGATGAAGCTATCATAGTGCCCATCTTTAAAAAGAACCAATGTAATATGTGCGGCGATCATAGGGATATTAGTTTGCTACCAGTTGTGTCTAAAATAATAGGGACTCTCATACTTCTCATGTTGCGTAAAACACACAGGGTTAACATCAATTGATACATCACGACTTCCTTGGTTGGGTATCCGACAGTTAGTTCGAGTCTCAGGCTCGAAACGTTTTTAGATATGGCCATAAATCCCAATCAGTAGTGAACATGCAATAATTTCCTTCTCTTTTCCTTTTCTGAAATTAACATGAAGTGACAATCTTGACAGGTATGCTTTCTTTCTTTCTGGATTACGGCTCTCATTCAATCTCTCCTTATTTTCTTCATATATTATTGTTGTGTGCCCATGTCTGTGTTGAATAAATAAATAAAGATTGAAAAGTGTGTCCCACGTGTTACTATCAGGGGATCTCATGGCATCGACATTAACCGTTTGGGCCGAGACCTCAATGCTGGATTGAATTCTGGTCGGCGGTTGTTTGTGTGCAGTCTCTGAACGCGTGGCTGTATGAGAGTATTTCGTTGGGAGATCGTATTCTGCTCAGCTTCCAGGTCATTTATTGAGTCGCCAAAATAATTGGTTTATCTACATTTTTTGAAAACAAACGCAGACAGTATAGCTAAAGGGCAGTTAACCATTGTCACACAGGAACAAGTAATGGAATTAGGATTAGATTGAGTCAATAAATATACCTGAGCGATTGCTCAGATATCAATTAGACAAATAGACATGCCTCATTGGTTCATGTGTGTATTAAACGTCTGTTCGGTGAACGTTGACAAATCACCACAGTTCTTCCTATTTATGCAGTCTGACGACTGACAATATAAGAAATGCTAATAGGCTGTTCGAATACATTGTCAAATTGTAGTTTACTCATGGTTCTAATTACTTGAATGGCTTTGCAGCATGAATCAACTTCACAATTTGCAATGTACGCAGTTCTAGGGGGTGCAATCTGCCGTAGTTTCCCTTAGGAACCAAATTATTCAAATCGCAGTATGTTATCTGCTTGATACCATAAATGGCAATTAAGTAAGCAAGGCTATTTACATGGAAGTATATAATACTGATTGACTTTGATGAGCATTTTTATACCATTCATTTCAACCAGTAGTGCTCGCTACCCAGATCGAGGTGATCTAAATACTGGATGGCTGTTTCACTCGTTTGGGATTGAGCTGATTAGTGTTATTACCAGTTTACTCAAGTAGCTAATCAGCAGTTGGATGGTTTGTTTTGATTTGGCTCTCTGAACTTAGTCAAACTGGGTACACCTCTGGAAAACTTACTTCTGTTTTGTCATATCTTTTGATAAGTTTCATCAGTTAAAATAAAATATCCCTTAAGCTATGGTATACAGTGCTACTACTTGTTTTTACTGTTTCACTTTGAATTTCCTACATTTAGAGGGCTGAGCTTATAGCTCAGTTACAAGAAAGACACTTCCATGAGTATGTTGCTTATTTACAACGTCGATATTTGCTTATTGAGCAATCGCACCTTGAATCGAATTCACCGACAACGAATACAATATCTTCGAATGTTCCTATCGCGAGTGATTCAGCACCTGAAGCTGTTAATAATGTAAACGGAGATCAGGCTACTAATACTTCCACTGGTATTCCTGCAACTGAAGTAAGCATTTTTAAACTTTCGTAATTATGGAAGTAAGGCAAGGCACTTTAAACAAGTATCGTTTATCTACATATCTTCAGTAGCGCTTAAGTACTGTTTGATTATCATTAACTCTTCTCCTGATTAACACTGTCTTGTCCTTCCAGTTCTTACTTGTGCTAGAAATTCAGTTCTTCAAATAGATATTCCTGGTGCGTTTATACTGTACATCGAGCTGAAAGTTACTTTGTTCAATATTATCGAATTATTTTCAAGTGGAGCGTCGGTGGCATAGCGGTTAGGACGCTCGCCGACCATCCACACGGTCCGGGGTTCGATCTCCGGCCGACGCACTGCCTTACCTCGCTAATCCAGAAATAATGCTGGTGAAGAGGAAAGGTTGGGCATGAGGCTAGCAACCCCATCCTGTAAAAATGAACACTGCTACAGAAAGTAAGCCACTAGCTTGAAGCCCTATGTTCCACTGGGGAACGTGAGGGAAAGAAAAAAATTTTCAAGCGGTCGGTAGGTTGTATCAACTAGAACTCTAGAGTCTTGATGTGTTTGTTATAACAGGTGTGAAACCAATACTTCAATAAAAGGATTACTCCAATTCCTTATTGTCAATAAATTTGACTATCCCAGCTTATTCCCCATACTGTCCAAGTGACCAATTATCTCTTGTAGTGGGTTTAAGTATCTGGTAGTAAAGGGTAGGTGTTAAATTCGTAGTCCTATCATTTGCGAGAAATTCTGAGTCGACCTCATTTCAGTCTCTTCAATATTATATTTTTCCGATACATAGTAAATGTGTTTATTCATTTGACATACTTTAATTGGTGTTAACGTGTGCATACATCGCACATACAGTCTGGAAATCCTGAAAATCCTATACTGGTAACCATTGCATCTTGAAGATAATGACTCATATTTTACTTTTAATATATTTCAATATTTTTTAGTCAGGTAGGTTTTTATCAAGAAAATAGATAACAGTTGTACCCAAAATAAAAAAAACTGCTCTAATGCCGAGTTATTTATAAATTGGAGAGAAAAATAATACAATTTTCAGCGAAGAGACTCTTTTCAACGAATTTATTATCAAGCTGTACAATCGTATATATATGGTTTTATAAAGAAATTATATCCGGTGAGGGAATTAGGTCAAAGGTGTAAATACATGAAATAATAATAGTATGAAATAAATTTAAAATATTTGTGATTAGGTTCATAGTTTAAGTCAAGTGGAACAATAATTAATGTCATATATAAGATAATACATCAGGTGTATAGATTTTGGGGAGAGGCATATAATTGTAAGATTAATAGACGAATGTAAAATGTTACGTAACATGGTGTGAAATTTGATAACATAGAATTTAATATTGTAAAAATAAAGATAAAAAGTATACACATGAATAATTTTTGGTTTAAAATGTCAAGTAGATCAAGTGGAAAAGATTCAGAATGAGAGTCGTAATAATAATAATAATAATCGAAGTAATAAGGGAAAAGTACATAGAATAATAAATAAATAAATAAATAAATGTCTATCCCTCTACGGCCAAGGCAGCAGTAGGGATTGTACATACTTCTTTTGTACACAAAGGTCTGGCTTAAAGTCATGAATTGCCAAGGCCTCAGCTGTCTTTAGAAGTCTGTAACGAAGAAAACGCGGGAAGTTGGCATGAATTCTATATATGACCTTGAAATCATGGTCAGGGTTGACCGAGTGACAGGAGTCGATGAGGTGTTCTAAGATAGAGCTTCGCACACATTTCCTTTCTCCCTTGTAAAACCAAGCTGGAATATGTTCTCGTATCCGTGTGGAGAGCATTCTCTGACTACGGCCAATGTACCTTGCTCCACAAGAGCAGGTGAACTGGTAGATGCACATGGAGGCGGTCAGACGGGGGAGCTTATCTTTTACAGAGGTAGAGAACAGTTTGCGGCTCGTGAACGTCATATGTAATCTAGCTGCAGGGAACGTTTTACTAACTGATTTAGAAAGACGATTTTTGAGCATATCAGAAGCTTGATCTCCTTTGAATTCCAAGTTCACGAATAGGGTTTTCTTTGGAACTGAGTCAGTGACCAGTTTAGACTGCTTATCTTTCATGTTTCTGTCAATAAATCGGTTAGGGTAACCGTTTTCTGCGAGTGTGGCTTTCAGGAAGTCAAGTTCTGAGTCGACGCAATCAGAACTACAAATTTTCCTTATCCTAAAGCAGAGTGAATGGATTAAATTCCTTTTCCTGGAAATAGGCACCCAACTGTAAAAATTAGTTAGTTGTCCGTTCCATGTACGTTTCCGGTGGATCGATCTCTTGAGAGATCCGTCATTCCGTCTGCTAAGGCACACATCAAGAAACGGAATACTTAGTTCCGATTCCTTTTCTATGGTGAATTGTAAAGAAGGATGGCAGTTGTTGAAGGCGAACAAGACATCATCAAGAACTACGTTCTTATCGCAGATGACGAAAGTGTCGTCTACGTATCTTTTATAAATGTCAAAATGCCCGATGGTTTGACTAAGTTGAGAATTTTCCAGCTTTGCCATAAAACAATCAGCTAACAAAGGACCCAGTGGTGATCCCATGGCAATGCCATCTCTCTGTCTATAGATCTCATTGTTGAAGGTGAACTGAACATTCAACGTGCATCTCAATAAAAGTTCTTTGAGGTGGATTGTCGGTAAACCTATTTCCAAACCATGTGTATCAATATACTCACATAAATAGCTAACAGTTTCCATGAGAGGAACATTGGTAAATAGCGACGTGACATCTAATGAGAACAGGACTTTTTCTGAGACATTAAAATCTTTAATACTATCAATAAATTTAAACGTATCATCAATGGAAAACTTAGATACTTGCCTTCTGACTGGTTCCAATATTTCGGCTAGCCATTGAGCGATTCCGTGATAAGGAGAGCCCGCCATATCGAGGATTGGACGGAGGCGTAATCCTGTCTATGGACAGAGAGATAGGATTGCCATGAGATCACCACTGGGTCCCTTGTTGTCTGATTGTTTTATGGCAAAGCTGGAAAACTCTCAACTTAGTCAAACCATCGGTCATTTTGACATATATAAAAGATACGTAGACGACACTTTCGTTATCCGCGATAAGAACGTAATTCTTGATGATGTCTTATTTGCTTTCAACAACTGCCATCCTTCTTTACAATTCACCATAGAAAAGGAATCTGAACTAAGCATTCCGTTTCTTGATGTGTGCCTCAGCAGACGTAATGACGGATTTCTCAAAAGATCGATCCACCGAAAACGTACATGGAACGGACAGCTAACTAATTTTTACAGTTGGGTGCCTATTTCCAGGAAAAGGAATTTAATCCATTGACTCTGCTTTAGGATAAGGAAAATTTGTAGTTCTGATCGCGTCGACTCAGAACTTGACTTCCTGAAAGCCACACTCGCAGAAAACGGTTACTCTAACCGATTTATTGACAGAAACATGAAAGATAAGCAGTCTAAACTGGTCACCGACTCAGTTCCAAAGAAAACCTTATTCGTGAACTTGGAATTCAAAGGAGATCAGGCTTCAGATGTGCTCAAAAATCGTCTTTCTAAATCAGTTAGTAAAACGTTCCCTGCAGCAAAATTACATATGACGTTCACTAGCCTCAAGTTGTTCTCTACCTCTGTAAAAGATAAGCTCCCCCGTCTGACCGCCTCCATGTGCATCTACCAGTTCACCTGCTCTTGTGGAGCAAGGTACATTGGCCGTAGTCAGAGAATGCTCTTCACACGGATACGAGAACATATTCCAGCTTGGTTTTACAAGGGAGAAAGGACGTGTGCGCGAAGCTCTATCTTAGAACACCTCATCGACTTCTGTCACTCGGTCAACCCTGACCATGATTTCAAGATCATATATAGAATTCATGCTAACTTCCCGCGTTTTCTTCGTTACAGACTTCTAAAGACAGCTGAGGCCTTGGCAATTCATGACTTTAAGCCAGACCTTTGTGTACAAAAGAAGTATGTACAATCCCTACTGCTGCCTTGGCCGTAGAGGGATACATTTATTTATTCTATTTATTTAGTTATTCTATGTACTTTTCCCTTATTACTTCGATTATTATTATTATTATTACGACTCTCATTCTGAATCTTTTCTACTTGACCTACTTGACATTTTAAACCAAAAAATTATTCATGTGTATACTTTTTATCTTTATTTTTACAATATTAAATTTCTTTGTAAAACCATATATATACGATTGTACAGCTTGATAATAAATTCGTTGAAAAGAGTCTCTTCGCTGAAAATTGTGTTCTTAATACAACAATTGGAATTATTAAATTATAGAAGAATAATAACCACAAACATAACCCGATGACAGTGTTGATGGTCATATTTCCATTAATAGTCAATCTGAACGAAGAATATTCTTTTCAGTAGTTTCTCCTCAGATTCTTGCAATTATGAAATATAATATTTGTTGCCAGTATTACGGCAGGCATATTTTTTTTTACGTAGAATAACAGATTAGTTATGGGGTGTCAAAATAAATAGTGGTATTTGTGTGACAAACGTGGTAGGCTGAAATCGATTATAAAATATTGTAAAACGGGAGACAATGGTGGTGATTAGTCGTGATGGCTTTGTAGAGTGTGGGGTAAGAAAATTGACAAGTCAGTTCAATGTTTTAAAAGGTGGCAGGTGAGTGGCTAGTACAAAGTGGTATGTATTAAAGAGAAGATAGTAAGACTGCAATGAGAGGTTCATAATCATGAAATAACGAATGTGTGAAATGAAACAGGTGGAGGCATATAGTGAGAAAAGAGATAGTATCACTAATAATAAGTTTGGATAGTGTAAATGGAAAATTCGATGGTATTGAGAGAATGTTTGCATGAAGGGTAAAAATTATGACGAATAATAATAATAATTGTAATAATAAGTAAAGAAAGAGGATTAAGGTGAGGAAGCAGTCATGATGAGAAGAAGAATCATTAATCCAAGTTTGGCCACGGTAGGAAGAGCGTTCGG